TTTCAATTTTAACTTTGTTATAATTCATAATTTTATCTAATAAAGAACTAGAGGAAAGACCTCCCTTGATAAAAAAAAAAAAACAAACTAAAAAGGGTAAACTAAGGCTGACGTTAAAGTTTAAGGTAATTATGAGACAATAGGGCTGTTCTATTTTAAGAAGTTGGGGCAGATAGCCTTATGATAATACTGTTATTTGGGTTTTTAACAATGGGGAGTGTTATATTAACAACGCGTTATAAATATAATATTTCTAAATATATATGAGAGTCTAACAATACGAAAATAAAAATAAATAAAGAAATAGAAATAATAAAATAAAATAAAAAAATAAACATAAAAGGTTCAACATTTCACTAGACAGTTTCTTAACAATAATGAGAAGTCGATTCTTAGTTTTACTTTTCTAAAGACATCGAAGTCTGAGAAAACTTTATTAACGAAAAATGATGGCCTTTAAATACATTCTTTTCCCTTATTAATTACTGCGCTATTTTATTATCTTCCCGATTTCTAACCCTTGTGAGAAGATTGCTCACAATCTTAAAAGCAGGGCTTCGCTTTGCACGCAAAATGCACGCAATCTATCAGCTCTCCCTATCTATCGTATAACTAAACAAACAAATAATAATAAAATAAAAATAAAAATAAAAAAATGTAGAATTCTAAGCCCGGTCTTTAAGTCACGGGAACCCGTGACAGTGGCATGAATTTTTGACCAATAATAAGCAAGACATGTGACCAAATCTGATAAAAATTTCGCATTTTTTGATGAGTATAAGTGACGTGAATCATACGTACAACAGAAATTTAAAGTAGTTAACACTACGTACCATTTATTAAAATTTTATTATTTGGCATTAAATAAATAATATATATAAAAAAAATAATAGTATATAAAAAAAAATAAAAAAATATATATATATAAAAAAAAAATAAAAATTTTAGTCGCGATCGAGATCATAATATTTATCTTTTATAATGTCATTATTTTTTTTCGCGAAAGGGCACGCTTTGTGAATATGATAATGATACTGTAAATAAAAAAAAAAACAAAAAGTATAATAATTTGAGTACACAAAGTTAACAAATAAACGATGCTTCCGAGGATCTTTAATTCTTGATTAAGATAATATCTATCTCCATTAAGCTCTAATTTTTTAAGTTAAGCTCTAATTTTTTAAGTTTACTGCCCGCTCGTAGAAACATCATGGCCAATGAAGTCATAATGGATCAAACCATCATAGACGTCATAGTCACTCCTCGAAAGCTCTTTCGAATGCATCCCTTTCGTCTTGATCGGGTTCGGTTCGCGTTTTTATTTGTTTGATTCGTAGGTAGATTCGGGCCTTTTGTTATTTCGAATGATGATACGAAAAAGAATTAGTAATTAAAACGAATATAAAGAAATTAATGAAAGATACATATAAAAAGCAAAAGAATTACTTTCTAACCGCGACAGGTTGTCACTGACATACGACGAACACTGGTAGTTAAATCTAAATTACGCCAAGGGAAAATTATGAGCAAGGATCATAATAATACATACTAAGCACTTTTTTTTTTTTTTTGTACGTACCGCTTGGGGTGGTGGTGGATCTGTTGGATTTGTTGGATTTGTTAGACACTAAAATAAAAAAAAGAAATTAATTTTTTTTATTAACAATAAAAAAATATATATATATATTTTAAATATTATACGTACGCAATTTTTACGTATAAAACTGAGACGGACGGGTAAACACCTTTTTTTTTTTTTTTTTGTTAAGTGTTTTTGTTTTTGTTTTTTTTTGTGTTTGTAATAACTTTTGGGACTATCTTTGGTGGGTATTTATATCCTTCGTTCATGATATGGCTTAAGCAGTGTTTTATTTAGCGGTACTGCAAGAACTTTCCCGCATCAGTTGAAATTGCGACTTTAACATGAAATTTAAGTTACACGTAATGGCAGGATTCTACATGAGGGAGGGCTCATGTGAAAATATCGTTGTTAATGCGACAGTTTTCCCGCGGTGTCCCTTCTCTTAATAGCTTAATCCTGTCAACAATGCGCTATTGTTATAATAAGCTATACCCATTTGAATTCATGCGACATAAAGGTACTGATTTACGTGATTAGGCTTAATAGCTACCCTTATCGGGTTCGCCCATAATCCGGTTTACTATATCTTGTCCTGACCGGACTGCAATGTGATTGTTGGCGTGCCCCTGCTTAGCCTCTTTTTGATCTGTTGACTTTCGTCAACTTGGATTAATATAAATTATTTATGTTAGTAATTGAAATGTATTAGCGTTAGCGAATCTATTAATGTAGTCGTCTGAACTACCATGTACTCGTTCGGTATGCCGTTTGCATAATTTAACCACAGAATCCTTTTCAAATTTGGATTTTTTTTTAACGTTTCATATAACACTAGTTACGTATAAATCAGAATAAAAATTCTGCACTAAAATTTTCGGCCATTACTCACCATGATAAAATTACCGAATGTTACTATGAAATATTTAACAACCTCCGGGGTTGATATAATCATAAATATCTATTTTCATGTGCACTTATAAACCGTTGTCAGACCCAAAATCGGCGAGTCTGTCGCTTGATCAATAAGAGCATCGTGTAACCAAGAATTCAGGTTACGTTAGGTCGAAAAAGGCGTGTTAGTATTAGATTCGAGCGAGCGGTTATGCAGAGTTTCGGGACAGAACTTGTATTTATATAGTTCCGGTAACGTTCGTAACGAGAGTGTTTATCAAATGTTAGGTTTGATATATGAGATATGGGATGGATGATTTATTAAAAATACTTGTTTGATTTATTATTAAGATTTATGAAAAGTAGTTGTATGATTAAGTGATTTAATAAAAGCAAGTGATTGGACCCGTCAAAAAAATGCCACCCGGGTCACCCGCGGGTGGACCCATGAGCCACCCAGGTAGAAACTAGGTATAAACCGGGTGGGTTGAAAAAAGCAACCCGTTGGGTGGACTCATGAGTCACCCGGGTGAAAATAGATGTCCCTGTTATTACGCATACCTGTATATACAAATATATTTCTAAATATTATAATATCCTTGATGGTTTGTTTTAAAAGTCTAGCATTAAAAATAAAATAGTAATTTTTTTTTGGATCGGGTAGAAATTACTAAGAATTCATTGTTTATTATGCTAAATATGTAAAAGCAATTCTTGAGCGTCCTTTATCAATGGTAAATTTTCGAATGGTTTGTATCTCAGTGAAATGGTAACGTTTAAAAATTTACCTCCGATCCATTGATTGGATACTTGAGAACACCTATAAAATCCGTTTTTGAAAAGTTTTTTTTTTAAAAAAATATATATATAAAAATGCATATTTGGAATTGAAGTTTAGTAAAGCAATTGCAATTATTGTTCACCCGTCGGGTGACCCACCCGTTTCCACCCGGGTCCAATCACTAGTCAATCGATCAGCAGTTGCTTAAAACTATTAGTGAGTTTTCTAATATAATTTTTTAATAAAAGGTAACTAATAATATTTTTTTATTTCCTGGTTCATACTGAAGTTGCCAGTAGGTTTCGTGAGTATAAAAATCCTTAAGAACATGTCTAACGAAATAGTAGTTTTTAAAACAATCAAAACAATTTAATCAGATACGTAAATCAGCCAATCAAAATTATAAATAGCTAATCAAAGAACTGATATTTGTATTATTATAATGTGACCAATCATAATCATTTGTTGTGCAATTTACAATGCAAAGTTGAAACCGAAACATTTCGACAAGTATTAGAGTATTATTACCAAAAATAATTTTCTCCAATGTGCCTAGTATAAATACGACAAGCATTACAAACCTGACCACCCACCCTATTTATAATCTCAACTTTTATACAAGCAAACATTTATTTTTTTATATTTAAGCTGAAAATCAATCTATTATAAATCGGACAAAGTATTACTATTTACAAATTTGCATTCTAATATAGTAATAATTGGCACAAGAATCAATTGATTTCTATATGATAATTAAATGGAATCATCAATGAAAGTATCTATAACTGAAAAAATATTTTTTACATGAAATGCTACGAGAATCAAGGCTTATATAAAAGAATGTTTCTATTCCTTTTATCCGGTTCGATAAACTTGTCAATTTCTAATTTGCTAATTCGCAACTGAATATCTTTTTCCTTTTATCAAAAAATAGGAATAATAATTAATAAAAACCTCTTTCAATCTTTACTATTTCATATAGATAATTTAATATATACTAATTTCTTTACCTTTGCCCATTCAAACCTGGGAATTTGTAATATTCTCTGAATTAAAAGTCCCTTAGAAATTTGTTTTTCAGGCTTAATAATTCTCATAATTGCAGAATCTAGTTGAATTGCTCTATCTTCGACTAACCGCTGTGACATCCAATGCGTCTTGTACCTGAAAAATTAAAAATATATAAGGTTAGTGTTCAAAATGTTTATAACTACACAAATATAATTCACACCCGTTTGGTCACTTCAAGATCTTCTTGCGTAATTATATTATTGTCAGTACCAGTCATGATACCAATCACGGTATCCAATGACTCGTTAATACAAAATTTATTAGTGTTCTCAATATCATCATGTGGTGAGTCCTTTAACAATAATGGGATTTTCCCGAATATAAGTGATTGTAAAGCGCGATCCAGTTCCGTGATTTCTAAAAACAAATATTGGTTTAGTTAAACAATAGACAAAATATAAGATCTAGTTAATAAATGTCTTTGATAATATGACAAACCCAATTCAGTCCGACGTTTGATTTCTTCGTACGAAAGATAACTTCCAAGGTTGAAAATAAGCTCAAATCTATAAGAATATTTTTCTATACAAAAAAGAAATAAACAATTTTTACAATTATATATATATCTTTACAGGATGTGCGAAATGAATAAATGAATAAATAATCATACCGATCCAAGAATCATTTCAACAATACATCTATCTAATTCATGTTGCCATTTTAATTTTTTATTCTTATTTCCCGGCTTAGTCTTATATACAGATTCAAAAGCTTTCTTTGCTTGTTCTAACTGAAACAAAATACAATTAAAAATGAATTCTCACATATCTATATTAATCTACACAAGGTACAGTTATTTCAATTAAAATTTCGACCTACATCAGGTGCTAATTTCACGTTTAATGTTGAACTCGTTACGTATTTTGGCCAGCTGTCTTGCGTTAAAACGTTAACATACAGCAACGGTGCATTCTAAATACTTGAGATATAAATTAGTACAATATTTTTTTAAAGTATCAATATATAGAATTTTAAAACTCACACTCTTGCAATTTTTATAAGTTTCATTAAACTGCCTTGAGGTTATTATATCATTTAACATTACATTTAAGTTATTAGAGAATTCTGGTTCCATTACATTTAATAATCTAGTAGCCACACGTCTTTCCAGTTCAAAGTTTGACGTTTTCTCAAAGCAAAGTCGAGTAACAAGATCTGTCACATATAAAGTTCTAAAAATCTCTTTATCTATATATAAATATTTAAAATTTTCAATAATGAATTCTTATCATCTTTAACAAATTTATTTGAATTTAAAAATTTACCATCCATGTATGATAAAAGCCGGAGAACAATGTCTAAAAGTTCTTTTAAATTTCTTATCTTATAATTTATGGCAGATATCATGAAATCATGTATCAGTTTTGCTGTAATATAATATTATCAAAAATTAGAAAATAAGTTAAAAATATTTTTAAAATTGTCTTATTATCTAGAACTTACCAACAATTTCATTGATTTTTTTATTTTTACTAATATATTTTGTAACCCGTTGGTGCCACATTTCTTTGATCGCGGTGCATAAATCATCATCATAATCATCCTCAAACATTGTTTTAATTTCATTTTTAACTTCATTTAACCGATTTGACAATTCAAGAGGCGTACTTGCAAATTGGTCATAAATAAGTTCTATTCGTTGCTTGTATTAGAAAGTGAAAATTATTAATAGTCCTCTAATTAGAGCTAGTGTTTGGAATTGGATGCAAATTTGTCACCCAAGTGGCAACAGATAGAGTATAATTCTATTAATATAGACGCGTCGGACGCGTCGGCTTAGTGTTTTTATGCATTATACTCAATTAAGATTATCCATCCAGATCCAAACACTAGTTAAAGTCAATAAAGGTATGATCTTATTTACCTCAATAATAGGGTCTATAAATAATTGTAATAG